GCGATGCAGAGAAGGAGCAGCACTTCCGGATGGTCATCGGTGGTGATGATCTTGCCAACAAAGCCATCAATCACGTGAAAATATCGAAGAGCCTGGACTCCCTGTGTCAGATACCTCCGATCTGCACCATTATGGCAAGTGCTTTAAAGGATCACGTAAAAGGGCAAAAGGGTTTTAAATTGCATCCCTTGAGTCTAACTGAGATTTACAATCTGGGTTTCGGTGCGCTGGAAGCGCTGGAAGCTAAACACTTGCCTATCTTTACCAAGCTGAAGAAGGTGGCGCTGCTTCGGATGGGAGGGCAGAACGTCATGTATGAGGATGACCTTTCAGGAAACGGGATAAGTGTCGAGGAAGCTTTAGCTTTCGCAGAAACGTTCCCGCTTGTTTTGAGAACGGAGACGGGACTGAACGGTACCACTGTGTTTCGCTTTGGCCACTCGAGTGTTCAAGAGTTCCTGGCTGCGTCTTACAAACTGGAGGACATCGAAGCTCAAAAAAAGAATTTAAGCTCCTGTATTCAGCATCAAGTGGATGAAGTGCTGGAGAATAATGAGGGAGTCTCTGATCTCCTACTTCGTTTCACGTTTGGCCTCATTAAGGAGCGCATGCTGTTGCCGCCCAAAGATTTGCTCTTTGGCTATGTCAAGAAGAAGATCCTGAGCAAGATATCGTCCTACAGCACCGTCATCCTGTTTCACTGCCTGCGGGAGTACGACAGTCAGGCGTTGCAGGAGGAGGTTAGGTTCTTTCACAGGTATGGCGTTTCTCCGATCCAAGGGTTCTCACTGGTGCACTGGAGAGACTTGATGCAGAGGATCAGAGCTTTTGAAGGGATTCAAGAGACTTTTGAGATGTCAGTGAGATGTGAGGACAAACTCATCAAGAATATTCCAGCTATTTTCAAATCCAGGAAAGCCATGTAAGTTTCTACTTATTGCATTCACTGAATTTTATCCATACGCCTATTTTCTTAACCACTTATCCACATTGGATCCTAGCTGTTATAGGGCGAGAGGCAGTGTTCACAATCACAGGGCAGTGTGTACAGATGCTACACACATATTCGTACATTTAAATGAACTGAAATGTTTTATCTCACATCATATGACAACTGTGTTCCTTCAGGTAATGCAGGACTTTTGTTAAACCCCTTGAATTAAAGTTGTAAGTCAGTGTGTCAGGGGTTCGATTTAAAACCCACTGTGATTGTGCACAGAGCTGTAACTGCAAAATTATTTCATTGTCTACATACTTAAACATTTGCCTGGACATACAATATTTCCCTCTTTGCCAGATGTCATTAACTTCTACCTGTTTGCAGGCTGAAATTCTCCAACCTGACTGACAAGAGCTGCCCAGCGTTGGCAGCAGTCCTAAGCTCAAAGGAGTCATTCCTGAGGGAGCTGGATCTGGGGTACAACAGCTTCAGCACCAGTGGAGTCCAGGAACTTGCAGAGGGCCTGAACAGTATGACTTGCAGGCTGAAAATACTTCGGCTGCAAGGCTGTGGACTGACCGCAGAGATCTGTCGGTATTTGAGCCAATGCCTGATGCAACACCAAATACTGCAAGAGCTGGATCTTAGCAGCAATGGAATAGGAGATCGGGGGCTGAAGCTGCTGTCGCATGGTTTGGGAAGTTCTAGTTGCCGGCTGCAGACATTAAAGTAAGTGTTCAGATGGTAAAGCGTTGTTTCTCTAACAAGACCCCCTAACGCTTTTCTGACTTAATTTTGTTGATTAATTTTAAACCCCAATGACATTCTCAAAAACACGTTGTTTTTTTTCTTTAGCATAAAGTAAATCCTCAAATACTTCATCGTTCATAAAGCCGATAGTTACTCTGTCACCACAGACCAGTTATAAGTCAGGAAAACTTGCAAATACTCCACAGTGAAAAAGGAATTG